TGATCGTAAAATTCTCGAGAGTATAAAGTTTCCAGCCGCGATGCTGTAATGCGGCTCGAATGTGCGTTGCGAATCATAAAATCGCAAATCAAAACGCGACGTCATCCGGATCTGCTTAACATGCATGGAATTTTTCAATAAGGGAAAAAGATGGAGAAACATATCAGGCTTCTCGTGCAGAAACGTAGCTGGCCAATCAAAAAGTATCCGTTTACACGTAAACGAGCGATGAATGCGTTCGCCGATTTTTATCCAATTAAATAAATATCTGGATTCTCTCATATTACGCGCGGCAAACCATTTTTCACATTTTCTCTGCAGTGAATTAAATACCCACGATTATTTTGTGGATTGCAAAATCGACTCGAGCGCATACAATGCACTTTCATGACAGAATACGACAATTGCAGGCAATCGCAATCAACTCTTCATTGTCGTATTTTTGTCACGTTACGTAACGTATTGAATTTCGCGTTCGTTTTTAATTGATGACAAATTAATCGTCGGCGCAAGCCGAGTGGTCGCTTCGCACGTGCGTGGTGTAACTAATATATCAGGTACGCTGTTAACGTTTGAACCAAAGGGAATGCGTAAATTCCGTGCAAAATAGCGATCTATTCAATACACTTAATGAATCATTAAACTTAAATTCTTCATTTCGCATTATTATTTTACTTTTGTTATCACTTATCGGTTAAATTGCTTCATCGATGTAACGCTTAAAACGCGCGTTTTATCATGGCAATGCATTTTCTTTCCTTTTTTTTAATAATTGCATTTTTTGCTGTGCAAGTTCATTCCTTTTTAATTCGATCTAATGTTGCCTAATTATTATATTAAAGCGCTCGTTATTCTCTTTTAAATTTACCGTAACAGAACGTGTGCATACTTCAAACAGGTTGCATTCTTTCGCTTTGGCCATTCTGATTGACCCATTTCCGAAGTCAATGATCCCATCGATTAATCAATCGAGCATTTAGATCGGCAATCGAGGCTAATGCGACACGACGAGCGATGAGATGGAGAGCCGAGAGGTTTCCACGTGGATCTCGAGGCACTCGATCGCTAATGAAAACCTATGCCCACACTTTTCGCATTTGATTTGTCCATCACATCGGTGTTTGTCAATCTTTTTCATCGATGATTGAATAAATGCTTTTAAAGCTGGCAGTTATAAATGGACGCATATGATATACATCTTTTAAATTCAACAAGAAATGCACGATAAAAATTTGTTTTTATGAGAATAACTTTATATTTGAGAAAAAAAAGAATGTGGCTCTAATATATTATTTCTAAGACAAAATCTGCAAATACCTACGACTCGATTAGCCATGTTTATTTTTCGTTCGATCTAGATTTTTTTTTCTGATTACATCAATACAAATGCCAAAACTGATAGGTAAATCAGAGCTTTTTAAATCCATAACAACAATTGATAGAAAAATTGACTTCCGTTTCATTCCAGGCGGGACTGAAAAACATTGCGATATGTTATATGTCGCAATAATGCGAAAGCCGGTAGTGCATAGCACAAGTGCACTCTCGTAACTGCCGAAGCACATCCGTGCAACATGCATGCGGTTCGATGCAACGGAATCAAGTACGGGCCAATGTATGTACGAACCAATGTATGTACACCAATTGCCGGCGGCTCAATGATTAATCGCTTCTTGCTGTTGCTTACAATCTCTAATTACATTACTGTCGTAGTATTCTCCGCGTAACCAAAGAATTGTTCACTTTTTGCCAATTATTCTGTCATTTTCTGCAGATTCTGTGTCATGTTTAATACTTGATGACACTCTCCCATTAAAAATTTGATTAATTACCTTAATAATTATACACAATAATGTGTTCCAAAATATATCAAAGTGTGGAAAATCTTTATTTCTCCTTTAACAAGATTTATTCAATGTATTAACGTTTATTAAAGAAAATATATCAATTCCCAACAGTTTTGTATAAATAATCTATGTAAGTTTCAAAAATCTAAAAAAAAGTCTCACTGAAAAATATCAAAATTTTGACAGTAAAAAACGAAAATAAATAGCCAAGCTTGAGCTCAATGTATCCTCGACTTCGCCTAGAGGCAAAAAACGGACTCATCGTGCGGTATAAAGGAGTGAAATGTCGCATCGTAAAAATTGCCCGCTGTGAAATAAATGCCGAACATTTACCCAACAATTCAGTGAAATGGGAAGAGATATCTACCATGTAGCGGCCGACAAAAAAAAAAATTGACGATGTCGTCATTCTGATACGATGCATATGCAGTGCGTATGCATCAGCGTTAAAACACATACGTATCGATATAGCAAGGCGTATCACGATGAAACGAAACATCAATTGCATAGTCAAATTGTCTGCGACAAATTCCATGGATTCGCACTTCGTTAATTCATACGACGACAGTTGGCTTTTTTCCCGATACGTCTGTCTTTCTATCCAATGTATAATATCCTTCATAAATTTTCGATCGTTCCGCGTTTTCACAGAAAACAAAAAGCAGTTCGCCAATAAACAAAGTCCGATCCTTCAATTGAACAAATTATATTTCAACGTAAAATCAATTAATTTTTACAATTAACTGAAAAATATTTCAATTGTTTAATATTTGCACGTATTTTACGCAATGAGTTTGAATATTTGTTTGACCGCAAGCTTTATTTCAGGATTTAAAAAATTTTTAAACAATTCCATTTGTTTCCTTTTAGATGTAATTGTAAAATTATTGGCCATTCACTTGTTAATGAATAATTCAAATTTTCCTTAATCAACTTATTTATCCTTAACAAGCCTTCGATTTCCATACATTTCCTGCTTTTATATTTGACGCGTTAATTATTGTAATTTATACGAGCAGTTAATCCTGAGAAGCGTGCATCATATAATTTATTGTCTCACAGAATGGGATTTACTTATCGGGTGAAACGCGTTGGCGTCCATTTACAAAGCACTGCAAGTGACGTCGCGGAAACGACGCCATGAATGTATTGTTCATATATGAATGGAACGCGTAAAACATTATACACAAAAATTTCGCCGAAGTCGTTGCGCGAAGCTTTCGCGGAACAACGCTTAACCACTTTGCATGTAGCGTTAAATTCAGCGAGTTATATACAATGCGCTTCCTCGTTGCACTTTGCCTGATCTTGTTTACGGTTCTAGTATTTTACACCGTCAAAATAATGAGATATTAACGCGCCGTTGATTTTGTATGTTGCAAGTAACATGAAACTGTGAACACTTTGGAATCAACGAGCTGCGACTAACAGTTAAATGTTAAAATAACATTTTAATGGGAAAATTAATCAAAGGAACAATTAAATGAATTGTTAACATGTCATATATTGTTCAATTATAAAGCCTGTAATTTCACAACCCATAATTTTTACAAAAAACTGGAAATAAAAGAGTTATGAGACAATATAAACGTCGCAAAATGACTAACAATTTTCTACTCGTTATTCATTTAAAATATTACTCTATTTATAAAATTATTTCGCATTTTCTCTTTATAAAAATAATAATATAAATAAAAATCTCGGTCTCTCTTTTAATATTTCTGTAAATATATCTGGTGTATATAAAAATTACAAATAAATCTGTGCAAAAAAAAATACTTTTTTCAACAAAAAGCCCGTAAACATTGTTCACGTAAATATCTTCTTCAGATATTTACAAACAAACAAGAGTTAGATATTAAAAATAAGTCATAATATAGAGAGAAACGCGCAAGCTAGACGTGGAAACATAGAGATGGCAAGAAACAATTGTAACACCGGCTTTCATAAAAGGCAAAGTCGAGTAAGTTTTTCCAAAGTAGTTTGCCACAATATTTTTCTTCCCGTGTTTGCGATGAATATTATTTATCCGACGACAGAGATATGCCGAAGAAAACAGCAACGTCGGCCAAACTCTCTCGAAGGACACATCCTCAGATTAAAGAAGCACACAGATCATCGGCGACACGTGAATCCTCGCAGAACCGAGCGAGCGTTAAGTGGGGAAGCTTAACCGTAACTTGCGCGACGACGGACGGATGGCCACGTTGAGACAACACACGCCGGTGATATTCGCAAAAATTGGCGATCGGCCAATGCCCCTTGTCATTGAGGGACAGCCAAAGTTACCCAAAATTGAGTGTACGATGCGGACGGCAGCGTTTCGGGTAAAAACTCACGAGCGAAGGGTAGCGCCCAGTGCGATGTAGAAGGCGAGCAAGACGGACATAGTCAGATGTAGGTGAGATGGAATTCTGAGAGAGAGATAGAAGAGGACCGAAATGAAGGAGAGCGAAAGAGAGGAGCAGACGTAGGGTGGGAAGCTGGAGAATGCGAGAGGGAGAGGACAGTGAACGGGGGAGGGGGCGGTCCAGGAGCAAGGGTAGCGGGGGAGGGTCGCGGCTTCGAATCAGGGGTTGCTTTCAGAGGAGCACGCAGTGCTCTCTCGTCTCGCGAGCCGGGAGAACGGGAGAGAACGTGCGTATCGGTTCGCGAAAAGAGGGTGGTACCCTCTCGCACCCTCGGCGCGTTCACCCTCGCGAAGCCCCCCGTCGCCCGTTCCCGCCAAAAGAGCGCGAGGAACCCGCGGCCGAAATCACCTCGAACGCCGGTCGACGCCTTCCATCCTTCCCCCGCTTATTCGATTCCACCGGTACCACCGAAATCTGGCGGTGCCTGGGGATGAAACGGCGGCCGATTAACGCGTCGGGATTTAAAGCCAAGCGGAGGACCAAGAGCTAACACACTGACAACGTGATCCTCGAGGTGTGCCTCGGCGGCTTGTCGCAGGTGATTTATGTTCGCGAGTGCTCTCGCGCTAAATGACGTCGCTGAGATATCAGTCAAGCAATTAGGACGATTTAAGACACCGATTCAGACGATTTGAAATCAAGTGGGGGAAAAAAAAAGTTGACGTTCGCGGAAGATCGTAACGCGATACTCGAGATATTTCCTCGGCGCAATGTGACTTTCGCTCGCAAGTTTTTCTCATAAAACGAAGGTGTTGGCTGGAACATCCGCATATTTTCGGAGATCCTTGATCCTAGGCGACGCATTCCTCCGAGACATCATTTGGTGGGTTGATCAACCCGTCAGAGATAAAGAGATGAACGTGGCGTGTGCTTTGGTTCAGATATATGGCGCGTGATCTCTTAGGGAGTTCACTGATCCGTAATTTTATCCTATCATCGCGAAGACGGGAAGAATTACTTAGTAGATCGTTTTACTTCGCTTTCAAGTCCTGGGAGATTTCAACGAAACAATTGGTTCAGAGGCAATTGATTAATGCGTAAACAATTGTAGAGCGATATTGCATGGTAAGAAGATAAAAATAGAACAATGTTTTGTGAAAGCAATAAAAAAATAAGTGCTTGTGTATAATACAAATCTAGATTTTTTCGCAAGTGGTAAGTATACGTTTACCAGCTATCTGTAAAGAGTTAATTGCCAAGTGAGATTACAAATAAGAAAAGTGGTCCAATTAACAATTAAAACTATTGTTCATATAATAAAAATAGCTATACAACTTTAAGCAAAAATGAGCAACTTAAAAAGATTCTATGAGTGAAACCCGCCAGAATTTAAACGTTAAAAAAGCAATCTTTTTCCTGTTAAATTTTATAATAAATTTTATAATAAACGCTAAAATATATATTTAAATAAAATATATTAAAAATATGAAAATTACATTACATATAGACGTATATATATAATGTAATTTTCTTTTCTTAACAATTGAACAATGATTACTTTGACATATCGACGACTTATTAAAAGCATTTTATATTTTTAATTAAACGTTTAACGTTAGAAATGAGAAAAAAGTTATTACACGATTTGCATTCGCGTTCATTTTCGAATTAGCTGGAGTACGTGGTTTCATGCTTGACGAGAATGGAAGGGTTAACGCCCTAGAAGAACCGCAATAGGATCCTCGTGGTATTTCGGGGTGGAGACTGTCTGAAGCGGCGACACACGTCGCTTTTAAAAACTTTAGCCCGTGGAACAAACTTACAGATATCAAGCTTTTCCTTATTTGTTACACACAGTTGACGCTAAGATTGCTAATCTAAAAAAAGGATCTCGAACTCGGAGAACTTTGATTCATACTTTTGTATCTTGCTAGTTTACAAATTGTTTAATGTAAAAAAGGTACACACAACGTAACGAAAATTATCGTAAAGAATTATTATTTTCACAATTTCACGTAGCGAACCTAGAGACAATATCAATTTCTAATGATCTTAGTTCAAAGTTAGTATTCTCTTTCAGAATCGACTGTAAATTCCTTTACAATACGTAGCACGAAATTCGTTGCCGTTGTAAAATATCGCAAAAAACGCGACGCTAGGTATGAAAGAGTTGGAATGTAAAAGCTTTGACACTCGGTTTCGTTTTCATTCGTTTTCTCGTAAAAGTTCTGTGTTACAGTTCTGGAAGAATGAGCTTTCAAAGAGCAAGAATAAATATAAAGAACCGCGATCATTTTACAGGGTTCGTCTATACGAAGTAAAACTTTTTTATAGAGAGAAAGAGAAAGATTTAAAAATGTTAAGGTAGCAATAATAAGAACATAGATCGACTATTCAATATATTTACAAGCTCTTTAGGTTTCAATTACGCTCCGAAACATAAAGATCTGACAAATCGTATGTCTCCATTATTATACGTAAAATGCTATTTGACTTTCCGAGAAATGTTAATCTCGTAATTTCTGTTCAGTAATTAATTCCTCAAATATTTATTATCAAAATATTTAACATTCAACAATTCAATATATTAATCACATAGAGAAAATTGCTTACAAAAGCATTTGAGATAATCCGAGTAGAATTTCGTTCAACAGAATTTTAATACCTAACTTTATTAGCTTTAAAAAATATCTAGCAGGATGTTAAAACAAAAAAATTGCGACAACGGTCATTTTCGATAATCCTTTGTTTTTAAATCTCCACAAGAATTTTGAAAATCTGAAATTTGAACAAGGAATCTGGCCTTTAACGTTTCATATTTGCGGATCTCTCTCCACACGGCAAGTGTAGAGGATGGTCAAGCGAGCGTCACTGCATACGGCAAGTCTGAAAAGCAATTTTGTCAAGGAGGCTACCTTCGTTGATCTTGCTCCTCACGAGACTCTCGTCGCTCTATTTGCCAAGCCGGAGGAGAGTTTGTCTTTCCAGGTCGCAGGTCGGGCTTTATTTAATTATTTCCTTTCGGTACACACGCGTAAATCGCAACGACAGTCGAATCTTCTATCGCGCGTAAGCGGATAGAACTCTGATTGAATTAATTCGGACTACGAATTCGGCCAACTTGCGAAGTATCCGGAGAAAAAAATCAATCGAGAGTGACGTTCGTAAACAAATCTAAATATCAATAATACACAAATTTAAAACAACTAGTGCAATTTAGAGCTAATAAAAAATCCGCTTTGTCCGAATGGAATATCGGTGAAATCAATACGCATTGTTGAATTAGCTTGCATTAGTTCTTTTGCGCGTCGACTTCGTAACGTATGCCAATCCGATTTCGTCCCGTGTAAAATTAGCGAATCCAATTAAGCGCGGTATCCAGCGAGCAAACTTAATTTAACTCGTTTTTCCGCGTTGCACGCTACGTGTCCCTTTATTATGTGAATCGCGTCGCCGCTTCGAAAATTACACGCCGATAGGGCCGCGCTTTTTGCCAGGTCGGGGACTAATTTCAGTATAAATTCGTCCTCGTAGCTGCAAAGAGAGAAGCTAAAAAGGACGCTCGTACGTATGTACCCACCGATATCGAATTTGCCTTTACCTTTCTCTTCCCAGTCGCGAAGATAAGAGACGGTAAATTAATTTGGAATTTAATTTGACCTTAAATAATCAAATTGAATTTCAACGAGAAGGTATGTAATTTTCTACTTGACGTCAAGTTTATCTTTCTACTTCGAGTCGTTTAAATAAAAAAACAACCGATTACCGCTATGCCAGAATCGCTTTTCATCAAAACAAATATAAATCCAGAAGTCGATTCAATTTGTATCAATCGAGCTTGATTAAACGTATTTGATTTGCTTTAAATTAACATTAATTATTCTAGTTCAATTTATAGAATTCAAGAATCAAATTACGCAACTTAATTGCATTTCTTATGTGGTGTTTCAGTTCAAGATCTAAAAATGCCCACGATATATTGCTGTTTCGAGTCACGGGAGCAGCAAAAATTTCTTTAAACGTGAACGGGGTTACGTTGTATCGAAGCAAGGGCTAATTTCGGAACAAATTCGCTCGCGTTCGTGAGTGGCCCGCTGAGAGGCGGAGGCGATAGAAGCCGTAAGTTTCTATCGGCCGTCGAGTTCGTCTTTTCCGTTCGCGTCGATGAAAACAGGGAACAATCGCTGCTGAACTTCCAGCCGAACCGAAATAGTTCAGCAGCGTTGATGAGTTCGAGCGCACGATAGAAACTTTGGCGCGACGCGAAACGTGTCCGGCTCCGGACGCGTTCTTCAAAGTTTTCTGCAGGTCGACATCGATTGTGTCTGGACCAACGGGGGAATAAAACGTGATCCGGCTTTGATCAGACTCGCGATTATAGTGCTTGTCCGAATTAACGCTTGTCGGAGCACAAGGAGTTGTGATTGCGAGTTACACATAAAGTGCCCCAAGCGTGTTGTTTTAATCCGTGTACAACATGTACCAGGAAGAAGTGTTGGAAATTGTCCAACTTATTTTAGTTCGTCCTAAAAACAAAATTGTTGCAAAACAGTGCACTCTATATAATGTTAATATTATTCCTCTTTATTCTTTTATAAACATTTAATAACTAGAGTTGCGGAAAAAAACTGGAGCAATCACGCGACCATAAATAACTATAAAATCGTTTGCTCATTGCGGCGAATATTAATTCGATAGTGAACGTTAAATGAGACATCGTGTAATTTTAGGAGAGATAAAATAGACTCGATCTAATTAATATGTCTAATTTTGATCATAGGAATATCAGCGCATCGAGAAAATTAAATACATAAAATCAGTAACTGCGATACACGAATTGATACGAATAGTATTATACAATACTCGAATGCTGGACCAATGAAGACGGGTTGAAACAATTTCGCAACCACTGTGCTCGCTTCTCTTGCCTAAACGTATCCTCGTTAATCCGAAATGATTTCGTACACTTTACGTCACGTACGCCGTCACAAAAGCCCCTCGGAAACGCTGAATGTAATATCAAACAATGAACCGACGGAAACGAACACTGCGTGTGACTGGCAAAATCGTGCAAAAGCGACCACGTATTGAGTTTGACGCATTTCATTCGTTTGATGTTAACAAATAGCAATTTATGCATATGCCGTTCGTGTACCATTAAACCACGGCTTTAAAAGATTTATATTGTTTACAATCCACTCGATACCGAGATACATGTTCGTGCACTCGCGAGATGCGAGCCGTGAAAGCTTGTACATACATAAAATAAATTTTTTTCTTTCACGCCCGTTATTTTAGTCATCTCATTTATTTTCGTAAGAAATAAAAGCTTTGTTTCTTCTCGGTAATATTCTCAAGCATGAATATTCCGCTCACGTTTCTCTAATAATGATTTTAAACTCGATAATTGGGTCTTTTTAGCGCGACGCGATATGATCGTGAAATGAATTGTAAACATTGTAAACATCGTGTTATTAGAAATCTCTCAGAATTTTGTTCTCTCTTTTTCTTTCTTTCGAGAAAATCGAATTGTAATTAATTCATTATTTATCACGTTACGACAAAATTTCTAGCACTAATAACTTTTATAATTTTACAAAAATATTTTTCCAGATCGGTATTAATAAAATATTCATCAATTTTATTTAAATTCGAATTCTCTTCTTACAATTAGTCAAAGCATTAAAAACATCTCATTTTCTTCATCAATTCAATTTTATGCAATATCAATCATTTACTTAGAAAACAATTGTTATCAACTTCTATAAGCAAGAACATTTGTTTAGAGAATTAAACGCGGCATTGATTTTCTAGAAAGTATCGCATAAGTCAAGAAAATGTCATTTAATCTTTTCTTCTGTTCTTCAATACATCCTACTTATT